AAACCCTGGGGTTTATGGGGCCTGGACCTTGTGTGTTTGCACACGGCTTGGGCATGGGTTTTTGTGCGTGTGAGGCGGGTGTATGTAACATCATCCCCATATGATCCCATTGCAGAAGTCTTGACAAATAAAAGCCATCCAGAATACACATTCCAATCCCATGCCAGGTCGTGCCCCAAACCCTTTAAGCGCTAAACCCAAGTGGGCCTGGCCGGCATTGGCCATCAGTCCCAAACAAATGGGCTTTGGTTTTAGAGTTATGAGAATTAAATCCTATATAATACCGATATGGCCCCAAGTTCAACAACAATATTTAAAATCTAACAACAAATCAAAATCAAATCAAAATTGAAATCAAACAAAATAGGCACCAACAAAATGAATGAACATTGAATAAACATACATGAACATCACTTCAACATCGAGAAAATGCACATGAAAATCAACCAGAAAACAAGCTGGAAAATAACAACAACACATACAAACAAGGGAGGCTGGAATGCCCTCGGCCCGCGGCCCAGAAAACGAGTAAAGCAACAAAAAGGAATGCGTAACACACTCATAACTACGAAAATTCAACATAGGCTGGAATTCCTGCAGGCCCGGAAATCCCCCCCCCCCCCCCCCGCACTCCCCCGCAGATTCCAGGCTACAGTTTTTTTACTTTTTTGTTGCCTTTTTGATTTTTTTGCATTTTGCGAACCCCGCAGGGACCTCTCCAGCATACTTTTTTCCGTTTTTTTTAGGACTTTTTTGATTTCCGGCACTCCCGGGAACTCATGAGAACTTTTTTCGATTTTTCGATTGTGTTCGATTTTTATTTGAGTTGTTTTTGTTTTTTACGATTCTTTTTCGATTCTTTTTTTATATCTTTTGATTTTGGAAGACATCTGTCTTACAAGGAATTAATTCTCACAATTTTAGAGTTGAAGGTTTCTTGGGAATCGGAGTTTTAGGGTTCAGGGTTTAGGAAACCCTAAACCCTAAACCATTTTGGGCTTCTAGGGTGCAGGATGCAAACACTTCGGCGTATGTCAGATCCCGCGGAGCCAAGAAGCCCTCGGCCCTCAGCTAAGCAGTATGCGACTCGCTTACGCCCTAGTGCCTCCGCCCCGCCGCAACCCCAGGCGTTTCTGACGCGAGTTTCATCCTAAACCCTAAGCCCTCAAGCATAAATCCTCAACCTTAAAGCCTAAACTAGGGGCTATTGGAGCGTCAGGGCTTGCCTTCAGCCAAGGTCGCACCAGGCGGACAGTGCCGGTGCCCTCTTCCTTCGTTGAGGGAGGGTGTCCCGGCGAGATACACTTAAACCCTAAACCCTAAACCCTAAACCCTCGAAAGCCCCGAAGGCTCAGCTTTGGGGTTTAGGGCTGTGACGCGGGCCACATGTTTAGTGGCACGGAGGAATGCGACGATGTGTTCAACAGCAGGAAGAGTCTCCCGAAGATCTGACGCGCGATATCCAGTCGTGCTTCAGCCAAGACTGGAGATCAGCGGTCAGAGGTGAGCCGCCAATTAAGATGAACTTCAGCAGTAGCGAGTCGGCGGCGATATGCTCCGTGGCAGAAAGGCTGACGAGCCCAAGCATGATTGCGGAAGGCCTAGGCTTCGGCGAAGTCTGAGCCAGTACAGTGGATGTCACTGCTGTGGGGATATCACTGCAACACGCGCTTCGCCTGGTAAATGGGATGTAGCATGATGTAGCGTGAGTGACCCAAACCACTTGTGCGCAAACCCTGGACACTCTTCAAGTGGCTCGGACCTAAACCGACACTCTTGGGTTTAGGGTTTAGAGTTTGGGATTTTAAGGTTTAGGGTTTGCATGGGGCTTGTACCCTACCAGCCGCTCATTGCAGGGTGCGTGGGCTGGTAGGGGATGCCAGGAGGTATACCTATTCGTCCCCTTCTTTTTGGGGTGTTCGGTTCCGGAATAAACCCCATTCCGCTGAAGAGAGGAGGGTGCCCCTTATATAGCCCTTGTATACCCTATACACTGCAAGGGCCCATACATCAGAACCCTTTAGAGCGGTTAGGGACCATATTACGGGCCCATGAAACCACTTAAAGTTTGGGGTTTGGGGTTTAAGGTTCACTGGTCAACCTTGCCTTGCGCGGCTAGAGTCTCAAGCCCTCCATCTTCAGCTTAACCCTGTGACCTCTATGAGGGTAGTTTCCTAAGTTAGGGTCCCTTTTCGGATACGCATGGTAAAGCGGCACCTTCCAACAGGAGCTCCCAAAAAAGGGACCCTAATTTAGAGAACTCGCCATGAACTTCCCGAAACCCCAACACCCCAAAACCCCAGTGTCCCTATAAGCCCAGAGTCCCTAAGAGGGTCCTCATCATATCTAGATTCTTAGGTAGTTCTTTGAGGTTCATGGGTACTTAAATGGTAGGGGGGATGACTGGGGCAACTATGGCTAACGAATTTATTTAGGGCATTAAACCCTACTTCTACACATGGTTTCCGAGTAGTCTCTACCCTCAAGGTCTAAGAAGCTGGATGGAAGGGGCATGACGGAGGTGGGCCGTGGGTGCAGTGCGGGTCTTGGGTCTTTGGGCTTTCGGGAGTTTGGGTTTGTTGGGGTCTGGGGTTTAGGGCTTCGGGTTTTGGGTGTAGAGGGCTTTAGGCTTTAGGGTTTAGGGTATGCTGGAAACTCCAGCACCCCCCCCCCCCCCCCCTCCCTGTCGAGGGTTTAGGTTCCCTGAGAAGCTTTGTTCAACCAAAAGGAAAACACCTTTCTATTCCTGGGTTAGTCTTGGGTCTAGAGAGGCTTGCACAGGGTACACTTAAACCACAAAGCCCGGAGACGGGTTTAGGGCTTTATGGTTTATTCCTTTACCCTAAACCGAAAGCCCAAATGGGGAGCTTCAAGATAAACTCCGAATTGGGGATTCGGGTTCAGAGTTTAGGGTGAAATTACATGGCTCAGCTGTCAGCAAGAGACGGCAGTAGGCACCATGTGTGTACTTGGAGTCCTTGGGTAGGCGCTTAGTGTAGGGTTGGTGGTTGATTGTGTTAGAAGTTCCCTAAACACTAAACCCGGAAACCGTAAACCTTCTACTCTAAACCCTAAACCCTAACCCCTAAACCCTAAACCCGGCTGCGGTGTCTTCGGTGTGGTGCTCCTGGTCCTGAGCGTGCTGGGCGTTCTTGTGTGTCACCTTGCTGGAAGACAATCGCTGTCGTGCTCGGAAAGGGTGACTCCAGTCCCTAAACTGACCTTTGTGGTACTTTACCGTAACTTTAGATCCTTACCTTTTTTGGGTTTTTTGGGTTAATTCGTAAGGCAGCTAAAAGTTTAATGTATAGCTACCCTCCTGAGTGCGGCCAAGTGACTGAAATGTATCCCACTTGTGAGGCCCAGCTGCTTTCCCTGCTCCACGTCCTGGACGACGGGAGACAGGTCGAAGATCTCGACATCGTCCGGGGCCTACGGGGATTGGTTTTTAGGGTTCAGGGATAGGGTTTAGGGTTTAGGGTTTAGGGTTTGGGTTTGGGGTTTAGGGTTTAGGGTTCAGGGTTTAGGGTTCAGGGTTTAGGGTTCAGGGTTTAGGGCTGAGGGTTTAGGGTTTAGGGTTGAGGCTTTGGTTGAGGGTTGAGGGTTGACAGGCTTGGGGTTCGTGCAAAAACCTTAAGCTCGGTGGGTGTCTTGTGATTTTCTGGTTGTGCGCGTGCTCATTGGCAGCCATTCGCAGACGGGCTCCCATTCGTAATGTGATCCCCGGGCAGGCGGTATTCCTAGTCGATGTGTGTGACTCTTACTTAAACCCTAAGCCCTAATAGCCCTAGACCCTAAACCCTAAACCCTAAACCGCAGAGCCCTTGTAGCGAGGATCCTCCCTGGCGTCCGGGTTGTGCACCCCATCCATAGCCTTGAAAACCCTGCCCCCACGGAGCCCAACACTCCCTAGACCCCTAGGGTTAGGGTTTAGGGTTTAGGGTCTAGGGTCTAGGGTCTAGGGTTTGGGGAATATGGGCGTCCTGGGCGCGCGAAACCCCTAAACCCCACACCCCAAACCCGAAACCCGAACCCTAAACTCCCTAAACCCTAACCCTAAACCGCCTAAACCCTAAACTCTAAGCCCTCAACGCTACTGCTGCCGAGGAGAGCAATCGTCTCGTGTCGCCCTCAGGGCTTTCCATGCCTCAGCACATCATGAGCCAGTTTCTAGGGTTTAGGGTTTAGGGTTTAGGGTGGTGCAGGAGGAGTTCGGTAACCCTAAACCCCAAGGACCGAATATTGATCAAGGGATTCAGACTCGTACCCAACCCTAAACCCTAAACCCTAAACCCTAAACCCTAAACTATGGCCCTTTAGATTCCTTTGGGGGATCCTTAGAAAGGGACCCCAAAACCCAAGAGCACATCCTTAAGGGTCACCCAAAACCCTAAAACCTAAACCCTAAACCCTAAACCCTAAACCCGGAGGTCAGCGACCTCTCTCTGGCGCCGTTGATGCGGAAGCTACGGGAGCCGCACATGCGAGCGCCCGGACTCTTTAGTAGGGTTTAGGGTTTAGGGTTTAGGGTTTAGGGTTTAGGGTTTAGGGTTTAGGTCTCGGGCCTTGCTTTAAGGTTCATGGGTACTCAATGTGGTCCAGTATTAACAGGGTTCTGAAGTATGCCCTTGGGTTGTATAGGCTATATACGGGGTATATCAGGGGGCCCCTTTCATCAATGGCCCATACTAAGAGACCATGTAACTACGCTGAGGGTTTAGGGTTTAGGTCGAAGGACGAAAGGAGGGGTTGGGGGCTGCTTAGGTATAAAGGGGCTAATTATATAAGGTAAAATACAAACCCTAAACCCTAAACCCTAAACCCTAAACCCTAAACCCTAAACCCTAAACCCTAAACCCTAAACCCTAAACCCTAAACCCTAAACCCTAAACCCTAAGTCATGTAGGGGCAACGTCCGCAAGGGTCTTCCAGTCGCTGAGGAGTCGGTGCGGCGGATCAACTTCCGTCACTGCTGCCGCGTGGGCAGCGCCACCCTGGACATGTGCGTGGAGCCTGCCTGGCATGTTCAAAGCCCAAAAAAATCTCTGAACCTTAAATTCTATCCCTAAACCCTAAACCCCAAACCCCAAATCCCAAACCCTAAACCCTAAACCCTAAACCCTGAACCCTGAACCCTGAACCCCAGGGACGCCCTATTTGACATTTCCTTTTTTTGGGCTTGACAGGGCCCTAAGCCTCACAACCCTAACCCGAAACCCAAATTGTTCAGATGTGTTGAGGCCTAACCTGGTTCGCGTTGGGTTTAGGGTTTAGGGTTTAGGGTTTTTAGGGTTTGGGGTTTAGGGTTTAGGGTTTCGGGTTTAGGGTTTAGCGGTGTACCCTCTTGAGGCGTAAAGTTTGGTTTAGTTTAGGGGGTTTTAAGCCTAAGAGCCCCTGTGCCTGCGAGTCCGAGGCTACTTGGGCTGTTGGAAAACACCTGGGTTCAGGCTTTAGGGTTTAGGGTTTAGGGTTTCAGGGGTTCAGGGTTCGTCGCTAAGCCCGACGGGAATCCCAAATATTCCGCGGCCCCTCAATTCCAAAATGCCCAACGCAAAGTCGAACATCCGAGGTCCGCTAAACTCGAAAGCCTAAACTCCAAACCCAAAGCCCTAAACCCGAAACCCTAAACCCTAAACCCTAAACCCTAACCCTAAACCCTAAACCCTAAACCCTAAACCCTAAACCCTAAACCCCCACCCCCCTCTATTTCTAAAACCGCACAAAGTGTGGGCTCGGGTCAGGCTCCTGGCTGTGGCCATGAACCTTAAGCATGTCGCAGGGGCGCCCAGAGGTTTAGGGTTTAGGGTTTAGGGTTTAGGGTTAGGTTTAGGGTGAGAACTTGTTTTAGAGGTTGTGTTGGGCGAATTGGGCGTAGTGCTAGTGCGGGCTCAGGGTTTTAAGCTTCAGGGGTTCAGGTTTTAGTGTGTTCGGCGTAGGGCTTGAGGTTGGAGGTTTAGGGTTTAGGGTTTAGGGTTTAGGGTTTAGGGTTTAGGGTTTAGGGTTTAGGGTTTAGGGTTTAGGGTTTAGGGTTTAGGGTTTAGGGTTTAGGGTTTAGGGTTTAGGGTTTACCCTGAGTTTAGGTGCCTGTGTGCGCAAAGCCTACAGTAGCTCCTCGGGTCAACATCCTAAAACCTAAAACCTGTTCGGGTTCGAGGTTTGGTCTCAGGTGGCATGTCTCCAGTCTCATGAAGGTTTTCAGGGAACCCAATACCCCTTCATCAAGGAATATACCTTGAACGATCACAGGGGTTTGCAATTCAGAGTTAAGTCCTTCATGAAGGGCTCTTTGGGTTTTCCTGGGCCTTCTACCGTTTTTTGGAGGCTTACAGCATTTACGGTAAAGGTATCTATCCGACCGCAGACGCCTTTCACCAATTTGGGGAGTTCTCAAATTTCGGGTCGCTTTGGGGTGTCCCAGAGCCTGGAGCTTTAAGCCCTAGAGTGTTTTGCTTTTGGCTTTAACCCATAGCCCTGGACCAGGGTTCCGGGCTTCTGTCTCTATGAAGATTGAGAGCTTACAGGGTCCTATTCAAAACAAGCAGAGACCAACCCCCTCAATACAGGGTCCGGGGCGGGGGAGGGGGGGGGGGGTTATTATTATCAGCTTAGCATGACTACACTATATATATATATATATACACATGCATATCGATAGAGAAACATATAGGTGTAAATGTATACATACAGATAGATGGAAAGAAAGAAAGAAAGATAGATAGATAGATCGAGTATGGTGTTTTGATTGGTTTTGAAGTTCGGTTTAGGGTTCGAGGTTCTTGTAACCGTTAGGGCTGCGGGTCCAACCAGAAGAAGCCGAACGAAACCCCTACAATTCCGGCAGGGGTTTTGAGGCTTTTGGGGTTTTAGGGTTTAGAGATTACGTAGCGGTTAATTAGGTTTCAGGGTTTACCCTAAACCCCACAAAATTCTGAACCCAAACACCAACCCCGAACCCTAAACCCCACACCTAAACCCCGAACCCAAAACCTCAAACCCTAAACCCTAAACCCTGCAGCCCAAACCCCCAAATCCAAAGCCCTAAAGCAACCCCAACTCCCTCAACCCTACAAGGACAAAACCCTAAACCCTACATCCCAACCCAAAGCCCTGACGAAATCCCGACACCCTCAACCCTACAAGGACAAAACCCTAAACCCTAAATCCCAAACCCAAAGCCCTATAACTGAACCCCAACTCCCTCAACACTCCAAGGACACCCCGAAACCCTAAACCCTAAACCCTAAACCCTAAACCCTAAACCCCCGAACTCCCTCAACCCTAGCAGCCCTAGCAAGGACATGAGTGGCCTGGCACTCGCCGTAAAGCTCCAGCTGCCGTTGTGCATGGGGCTGGGCAGCCACCAGGTCGGGGGGGCACTGGAAGCTTCGAATTGAGGGTTTAGGGTTTAGGGTTTAGGGTTAGGGTTTAGGGTTTAGGGTTTAGGGCTTAGGGCTTAGGGCTTAGGGCTTAGGGCTTAGGCCTTAGGGCTTAGGGCTTAGGGCTTAGGGCTTAGGGTTAGGGTTTAGGGTAGGTCTTGTGTAAGGGGTCCCCCAAACCCTAAGCCCTAAACCCTTCTCGACAATCATGTTTGGCGTGTAAAGGGGTCGGTTGAAGGTTTCTCACGCTTCTGCCTTGAGGGACGTAAGGTTGCGCCACGGACCCTAAACCCTAAACCCTAAACCCCTAAGCGACAGAAAGGGGTCTTGACTGAGGGGCCCCAACACCACATAAAACACAAGGATCCTATTCTTAGGGGTAGAAGTTCCCCTAAACAGAGACTGTTTTGAACACCATGTTTGTAGAATCCTAAGTGTTTCTGTGGTTTTTGGGCCCCAAGTGACACAGACTCCGCAGAAATCATCAATGAGGGCCATGAAAAGGCAAGGAGTTGCGAGTGTCCAGTGTCGCTATGAAGCAGAAAGGGGCAAGAAGAGGATGTTGAGGAGGGCACTCCGACTGGGTAGTGTAGGCTCGAGTGGTTCCTGAATTATACAGTGTACAGTGTTCAGCGTTCATTTCGGGTGCAGAGGTGATGGAAAAAAACGATATTCACAGCTTGTCAACCAAACCTTCGATCCTCAGCGGGGTTGGGAAGTTGAGTTTTGGGCTTGCGGCAAAGTGTGCTCTTCGAGGATACTCTTGAGGGGCTGCCTTCCAGGGATTTTCTGGAGGCAACCCTAAACCCTAAACCCAAAACCCTAAACCCTCCAGGTTCTTTGGGCACGCTAGGGGCTGCAGCGCCACAGCCCATGTGACAGTCGGAGCTCCAAACCCTCCTCGGCGACAGGAAGCGAGAAACAGGTGGAAATGACTCGGAACTGCGCTCAGCCAAGCGCCGCCTGGAGTTCGACAGCGCGGCGGCAGAAAGAAGCAGACAGGTTCCTGGTCCTGCTGGACAAGCACCTCGTGTCGCGGGCGACACCGATTTGTGCCACCACGACCATCAGGCCTCCGACAAAACTTTGCGGGATCTTTTGCAGGGTTCGGTACTCGTGCAAAATTAGTTCAAAGGCGACAGGGGGGAAACGGCCAGAAGCAGCAAGATTGCTTGCAGTGTTCTTAGATTCTTGCCCGAGGGATTCTCTGGCCGCTTGGGTTTGGAAACCTCAGGGATTCATTGTGCTCTTGGGGGGGTTTTGGGGGGGTTTTGGGGGGGGGGTTGGGGGGGCACTTCAGGGCCGCGAAACTACACGACTTGCCTCCTACGCCCTCTGCGCCCTCCTTGGCCGCAGTCCCTGGAAACGGTGGCGCTGGCTGGCGTGGGTCTGGGAGGCCTGGTGGTGGTGGGGCTCCCATGCTCGGACATTATTGGTGGCTTAGGTTTTTTCGGGTTTGGGGACTTCGGCTTTGGGGGTGTCGGGTTTTGGGTGTGGGAGAAACGCAACACGAGTCGTAGCTTTTGGAACCCAAATGTGCTCCTTGAGTCCCATGACAGGGTGAGACTTCGATGAGATGTGACCCTAAACCCAAATACCCAAACAGGTGGCCTGCTGTGGAGGCTTATGGGTAGAGGTAGCGTTATTTCAAGGAGGGTAAAATGTAAGAGAATGATTTTTAGATGTAGCCAGTTATGACTATGACCCTTCTTGAGGTATGTACAGCCGCACTCAGAACTAGCCATGTAATCTAGCATGCAGGATATGCTAGGAAGGAACTTTGCATTGCTCTCACTTCGCATACTGAGGTTTATTCAGAGGACCTTATTCAGGAAGACTTTCTGAGGGTTTTTACAGAACCTGCATCCCCGCCTTAAACCCTGAACCTAAGTCCTGAACCCTAAAGCAACCTCGTCCACAGTCGCAGGTACCACTCAGAGTTTCGCGTTAGGATGAAGTCGCGTGTCGACAACCGTAAGTCCAAACCCTAAACCCTAAACCCTAAACCCTAAACCCTAAACCCTAAACCCTAAACCTAAACCCTAAACCCCACGCTGAAGCGTACACCGAAACCCGCAAGTGGGAAGCCAGACCCAGATGTGGTAGTTGGTCTTCACACCGAACCCGAAACCTTAAACCCTGCATCTTGAAACCTAAGCCCTAATTAACATCAAAGCAGTGTTGTTCCTGGCCGTGGCTTCCCTGGAGCAAGCTCACCACCTGCTTTATTGTCATACATATGTTGTTGCTCCTACGTAGTCGTTTATGCTGTCGTTCTTTAAATCGGGTCTCGGTGCATTGTTGGGCTTCTCAGTACAAGGTTTTGGACCCACAACTTCCTATGGTTCCTGGCAGGGTTTGAGCTTCTTTGCTTGGGGTTCAGGGTTTAGGGTTTACAACCTACGAATTTGCAGGGCTTGGGGGCCGGGTCTTACCCAGTGCTGTGTCTAGTCTAACATTTGGGGGGTTAGGCCAGGGGTTTCAAAACCCTAAACACTAAACCCTCAACCCTAAACCCTAAACCCTAAACCCTAAACCCTAAACCCTAAACCCTAAACTCCCTAAACCCTAAACCCTCAGTGGCCCTAGTTTATCCATGTGCACCTAAGCCAGCCCTACGTAGGGTTTAGGGAGGCCTAGGGCTGAGTGGGTTTAGGGTTTAGGGTTTAGGATTTAGGGTTTAGGTTTTAGGTTTAGGGTTTAGGGTTTAGGGTCTAGGGTTCAGGGTTTAGGGTTCTTGGACTTCTCACATTTTGGATTTCTACATCCCCCCCAGCCTAAAACCCAGCCGGAACATACCGCTGACCCGAAACCTTTCGGCCCTAATCCGCAAGTAAGCCCTAACCCCCAAACCTTAAACCCTTCTTGAAGATTTATGGGTGCTTATAATTAGGGTTCTCAGTACCCTAAGAAAGGTTACAACCATTTAGATACCCTACTTATAGCCCTACTCCTGGGACCGGGAGTGGGCCCCTTTTTCCTTTTGTTAGTGTTGGGGTTCCCTTACAATCCCCTGAAAGCCAAAAAGTGCACCCTTTGTATTCCTAGGTTACTCCTGGTAGCCCTCAACCCTAAACCTTAAACCCCAAACCCTGAACCTCCCGGGTCTAGACTAATTAAGTATAGTTAAGTATAATTAAGTATAATTAAGTATAATTAAGTGAGACCTCGCAGAGGCAGCTGCGGAGCGGCCGAGTGCGTCCGCAACCTTGTCTGCAATGCCGAGTACACAATCCAACGCCTAGGCTGCTTTCGGTTTTTTCGGTGTAGGGTTTTGGGTTGGGTATAGGGTTTAGGGTTTAGGGTTTAGGATTTAGGGTTTAGGGTTTAGGGTTTAGGATTTAGGGTTTAGGGTGGTGCAGCCTCTATGTTCTGGTAGGGGTTTAGGCAGGTTCAGGGTTGAGGGCTCTAGGGTTTTGGACTTGGGATTCTCCGCTGCCCCTTTTTCCACACTCCATAAACCATGGAGTGGGGTGCATATTTCTGCTATTCTGGTATTGGCGAGTCAAAAAATCGTTGCTTGCAAATTTCGGTGGGTGTATATATTGAGTGGTCTGGTAGGATACGAGCAAACACACACGGACAAACCTGCCTCATATACCTTAAGCCAACATCATGCAGGACTGGTGCCTCCATTTTCATGACAAGGCTAACCCTCACCCTAAACTCTAAACCCTAAACCCTAAACCCTAAACCCTAAACCCTAAACCCTAAACCCTAAACCCTAAACCCTACTTGCATCCGAGGGCGGCTGGTGGGCAGCATCAGCATTACATCACTGGACTTGAGCTGGAACTGTTTCGACCAGCAGGAGACAAGAAGCCTAAACCCTAAAAACCCTAAAAACCCTAAAAACCCTAAAAACCCTAAAAACCCTAAAAACCCTAAAAACCCTAAAAACCCTAAAAACCCTAAAAGCCCTAAAAACCCTAAAAACCCTAAACCCTAAACCCTAAACCTAAACCCCTGAACCCCTAGACCGTAAACCCCCAAACCCCCGAAGCGCATGGCTCGGACGTCCCGGCTGGCACGCTCACGCGTTGAGCCCCAGCTCTCCGAATGCCATACTACTAATTGCTTAAGAATCAACAATATTCTTCCTTATTAAGGGTTTAGGGTTTAGGGTTTAGCTTAAGAATCAACAATATTCTTCCTTATTCAGGGAAATATAGGGATTATAGTTTTTTATTCTCTTGGGGTTCTTAAGCAAATAGTAGCATATGTCTGCGTGTTTCTACATAAGTTTCGTGGGTTTTAGGGGTCTAAAGCTTGCTATAGAGATCGGAGGAATTACTAATAGCGTTCCCTTATGTTCCCTTTTAAATAGACTAGAGAAACCCCAATTATTAAAGGCCCTATATTAGTGGTTTTGGGTTGCTTCCAGAGCACGCAGGAGTTTCAGCAGATGGGCAAGCAGCTCGTACAGACGAGGCGCAACCTTTTCTTGCCCGAAACCCCAAGCCCCGAAAATCGACATGAATCCTAAACCCTTAACCCTATCGGCCCGTAAACCCTAGCTAATGCCCTTCGAGCCGTAAGCCCAACGACCCTTCCTACTTTCCATGATCCACAACGGGAAGGCCAAGCCAGTCTCCAGTACGCCTGAGCCAAACGCCCGAAACTCTCACAGCATCCTGAAGGCCTGTTCGGTGTAACCCTACAACCCAAACCCTAAGCCCCAAACTTTGGGATGTTTCCCCTTATACTAACATGCCTAAACAGGGATTCGGGTACCCCTTACTATCCCCATTAAGGACTGTTAGTTGATGGGGAAACATCCCAACCTAAACTCTAGAAACCATTAGCCCTAAAACCATGAGGCGTCTATGGTTCGTACTAGATCCCAAAAAAGGGAGCCCACGTTCAAACCATTCAACCCTTTTGAGGAAGGGTTACCCCCCCCCCCCCCGCCCAAACACAAAAACCCCAAAGTCCTTTTTTGACAGAGGCTCCCAAAACCCTCTTTAATCGTAAATCCTAAGCCCCAAGCCTCAATGCCTTTCCTAAGCCCTAAACCCCAATTCAACCTTAAACCCTGAACCCTAAACCCCAAACCCTAAACCCTAAGCCCTAAACCCTCTTCAACAGGGGCTCCAAGCTTTCCAAGCTCTACTTGGACTCCACCTCCAGCGTGGTGGGGGCCAGCGACTCCTCTATCGCAGAGCGGCCCAACAGCACTTTAGGGTCTAGGGTTTAGGGTCTATAGGGTTTAGGGTTTAGGGTTTAGGGTTTAGGGTTTAGGGTTTAGACTTTAGGGTTTAGGGCCTAGGGTTTGGGATTGAAGGTATGAGGGCTTTGGGCTTGGGGTTGAGGATTTAGGGTTTATAGGGTGTCGGGTTGAGGGTTTTGGGTTTTGGGTTGGGGTCTAGGTTTAGGGTTTGGAGTGGTTCTGGAAGTATGTCTGATTCTGGTTCTTTTCTGGGTTTTGTCCACCCAACGCCCCTAAAAAGCCGTTTTTTGCGCGAAAAATCTGAAGCAAACAAAAGTCTTGGAAGCCTTGAGCCTTCAGACACCCTGTCTGAACGACCCAGCCCCTTGCCCTAAACCCTAAACCCTAAACGCTGGTTACGCTGGTTACCCTGGTCCACACCGTGGGGTTGCGTTCCGGGTCAACATTAACACTCCCGGCATCCTGCTGGCGGGAAGCACACAAGAGTGTGCCCCGTTGCTCAGCAAGAAGGTGCAAGCAACAATTCGGTCAGCCGGCCAGGATTCGAGAGTGAGAGAAAAAGAGAGAGAGAGAGAGAGAGAGAGAGAGAGAGAGAGAGAGAGAGAGAGAGAGAGAGAGAGAGAGAGAGAGAGAGAGAGAGAGAGAGAGAGAGAGAGAGAGAGAGAGAGCGAGAGCGAGCGCGAGCGCAAGCGAGAGCGAGAGCGAGAAAGAGAGAAAGAGAGAGAGAGAGAGAGAGAGAGAGAGAGAGAGAGAGAGAGAGAGAGAGAGAGAGAGAGAGAGAGAGAGAGAGAGAGAGAGAGAGAAAGAGAGAGAGAGAGAGAGAGAGAGGGGAGGGAGGGAGGGAGGGAGAGGGAGAGAGAGGGAGAGAGAAGGAGAGGGAGGGAGCGAGAGAGAAGGAGAGAAAAAGAGAGAAAAGGAGAGAGAAGGAGAAGGAGAGGGAGAGAAGGAGAGGGAGACGGAGACGGAGACGGAGACGGAGACAGAGACAGAGACAGAGGCAGAGGCAGAGACAGAGACACACACAGAGCGAATGATGACATTTATGACCTCTGCCATCAACAAAGTCACGGCCACATTCGTCGCAAAGCTCCAGGCCGCGCCGCCCAGAAGGATTTCACATGTTCCTGAATGGCGAGGGCCATACAGGCGAGCTGTTCGAAGCCTTCTGCTTCTGGTTCCAGGCATAGAATTTCCTGGAGTGAAGCATGCTCCCATAGCTGCCTGGGGGATCTGAAGGAACTCCATGCAGTGCACCGCAGGAGCGTGTGTGCTAGAGGCGCCACAGTGAGACGCTCGCAGCACACGCATCGAACTTCCCTCGCTCTTGACGGTTTGTCCGCCTTGCACCCGAGCACCAGCAAGTCTAGCCTTAGCCTGCTGATGGCTCTGGTGGCAAGCAGGGTATTCCAAGTCGCTGGCCTTCGGACAATGTTCTGCAGCGTCAGTCTGGGCATTCTAGAGGGGAAAGCGTTGTTAATGCACGGTGCCGTAGAAGGGATCAGAGCCCTCCTCGTTTTCTCAAGGCAAATGTCTTTCAGAGCGTCCTTTACATAGTTTTTGTAGGCGCGCAGCCCCAACGACATGTTTCCTTCGTTGAAATCTCGGATACCCCAGTCTTGGAGCAGCTTCAAGCTCCGTGCAGCCCAAGAAGCAGGTGATTTGGAAGCCTCACAGAACATCTGGCGGTACCAGTCTTGCCGCGGCCATGACTGGATGCGGGCCCGACGAGAGGCAACATCCAGCACAGCACGGGCAAAACCTGACAACTGCCAGCCAAGTTCCCACGAAGCAAGGTGCGCTGGCTTCCAAGGTGGAACACCTAGCAGCGTGCGCGCCCACTTGTCCTGCGCGGTATTCAACTCGGACTCCGCATTCGGGGCCATGACAGCGAAGAGCCACCTCCCAACTCTAAGAGTCCCGTCTACCTTACTTTCGAAAAGTGCAGCTGCGAACGGTAAAGGAAGAGCAGCCTCAATGCACAGGCCAGCTAAAACACACAGTTGCGAAGACGCAGCACGAAGGCGAGCATGTAGGGATTCGGTGGCGCCACCGTCGGTAGACCACAACCAGCCCAGCCAATTATGCTCTGAGGCACAAAGGCAAAGACGCACAGGGGCGGAACGGGGCCTAGGGCGAAACCAAATAGGGCAAATTTCACCATAGCCTCCCACACGAAAAAGTACAGTCTTTGAAGCTCCCACATGGAAGCAAGCCCCGTGCAGGGGGGCCCATTTTTCAATGATCAATAATGTCCTTGCCAAACCCTAAACCCTAAACCCTAAACCCTAAACCCTAAACCCCTATAGACCCCCACACCTTTAACCCTACAGACCGCAGACCCGAAGCCCTAATCCCAAAAGGAACTGCACCACTTTCCCGTTCATACGGGGTATACTGCAGTCCAGGTGCGGTTTCTGGCGGGTACCAAAATGAGAGCGACTACTGGTATCTGCAACCCCCTTGTTCCACATGTATAGTATATGTATATCCTAAACCCTAAGCCCTAAGCCCTAAACCCTAAACCCTAAACCCTAAACCACATGTATATGTATAATTATTGCAGATGCATGTTTGTTCTCGGGTAGCTTGTCCCTTTTGGGGTCCCCATATAGTTAGTACGGCACCCTTAAAAAATCAGGGACCCTAATTTAGAGAACTACATATACATATACATATATATATATATATACATATACCTATATATATATATATATCTGCACACGCTTGATAGTCTGCAGACTTGGAGACCCTCAACCCTGAGCCCTAAACCCCAAACTTTGAACCCTATAAACCCCAAACCCTAAACCCTAACCTCAAACCCTAAACCCCAAACCCTAAACCCTAAACCCCAAGCCCTAAACCCTAAACCCTAAACCCTAAACCCCAAACCCCAAACCCAACCCTAAACCCTAAACCCAACCCCCCCCCCCCCCCCCAAACCCTCAACTGAAAGGCTCCTGGAGGCCTTGGCCTACAACAGGACGCTGTCCTCCTTGAGCATTGCGGCCAACCGACGCTGGGCGGCACCCTTCTATACCCTGTAAACCCTAAACCGGGGGTTTAGGGTTTAGGGTCTAGGGTTTAGGGTTGAGGTTTTAGGGCTTAGGGTTCAGGGTTTAGGGCTACACACTCTAAACCCTAAACCCAAATACCCAAACCCTGAACCTTAACCCTAGGCCCCCCCCCCCCCCCCCCCCTGCACAGGAATCGACTTCAAGGCGTCGTTGGTCTTGGAGGATGCGCTGGAGAATCACCGGCCCATGAAGCAGTTGAACCTGGCACAGACCCTTGGTGCGGTTTAAGGCTTAGGGTTTAGGGTGTAGGGTTCTAGGGTTATAGGGTTATAGGGTTATAGGGTTATGGGGTTATGGGGTTATAGGGTTATAGGGTTATAGGGATATAGGGTTTAGGACTCATTATAGGCGTGACAGGCATGAGTCGGCATGAGAGTTGAAGGTTTTTTGGGCCCTTCACCCAAACTTCCCTCAGGGTTCCACTCGCAAGCTTGTTCTGACCCGAAGGGCGTCACAGAAGCTACGACGGTTGCTACCCCTTTAACCCCCAAACCTGAAACCCTAGCCCCCTATAAACCCTAAGCCCTACCCCCCCCCCCCCCTCCTCCCCCCCGAAACCCCTAAACCCTAAACCCTAACCCCTAAACCCTAAACACACCCCCCCCCCCCTCTCAAAGTATGAAAACCTTAGGGTCGGTGGCTCCCCAAAAACTTCGGGGGGCCAGAAGCTAGAAACCCCCTAGACCCTTAGAACCCTAAGCCCGA